GCGTCCATCGAGTTATGGATGCACTTGGGAGGTTGCTTAAGCACTCAAAAAAGCTAGAGTTGCACTCCGCTTCGCGTCGTGCAACTCTTACGCTTTTCTTCGTGCTTAGCAACCTCCCGCGTGCATCCATAACTCGATGGATGCACGCTACTTATGATCCATTCCTTAAATGAAGGAAAGTTTAAGCCTTCGTAAGATACATCTTTGCCACCCACCTGTGCAAGTCTCTCATACATGTGAGCCAAGGGAAGGTAAGATATATGCACATCATTATTGTCTACCTGGATGCCGCACTGAAGAAAGACAAAATAATGAAAATGACAAGACTTGTAAGCACGTTTGGCATGGGGGTGGTGGTGATGATGATGGTGATGATAATGTTAATGATAATAATAATAATAATAATAATGGTGATGATACTGAGAGATGATGGTGATGATGATGATGGTGATGATAATGACGACAATTGAGCAGATTTGGCATGGCAACACAAAATGTTGGTGGTGGTGGTGATGATGATGATGGTGATGATAATAATTATAATGGTGTTGATGATACTGAGAGATGATAGTGATGATGATGACGACAATTGAGCACATTTGGCATGGCAACACAAAATGGTGGTGGTGGTGGTGGTGATGATGTTGATGATAATAATTATAATGGTGTTGATGATACTGAGATGATGGTGATGATGATGGTGGTGATGATGGTGGTGATGATGGTGGTGATGATGATGATGACAATTGAGCACATTTGGCATGGCAACACAAACTGTTGGTGGTGGTGGTGGTGGTGGTGATGATGTTGATTATAATAATAATAATGGTGTCTATGATACTGAAAGAGATGATGGTGATGATGATGATGATGATGACAACAATTGAGCACATTTGGCATGGCCACACAAACTGTTGGTAGTGGTGGTGATGATGTTGATGATAATAATTATAATGATGTTGATGATATTGAGAGTGATGATGATGACATTAATGATGATGACGATGGTAATGATGATAATGATGGTAATTATGATAAATGATGAAGGTTATGATGTTGATCACATTGATGATGATGTTTATTTATAATGTCAGTAATTATATAATAACAATAAATATTATCCATACCTTTTGAATCAATATCACCAGTCCTGACAACATGGATATTATGTTACCATGTGATATCATAGCACCTTTTGGATTTCCTGACGAGAAAAACCAATAAAACTTAATGAATTAATTTACTTTATTCATCTTTCTAATCAACTTCTAAAGGTGCACATACAATGACAACATTTGTTTTGGTTGATTATGGACAATCCAATAACGCAAAGTGACCAAAACCTATTGTTATCCTGGGGGCTAACTAGAAAACTTAACAGCTATTTTAGCCCCCGGGCTCGTCTTTTTTCCAATCGTAATTATTGAATCAAAACTGTAAACATAATTGATTTTAGAAAATGTCGTGTCCCAAATGTAATAGTGAGCAATAAAATATATTGTATTGTATCGTATTGTATTGTTAAAATGATTGTGCAAATTTACATTACAATGGCAATGCTTAAAAAAACACTGAAAAACACTAATTCTATTCGCATCAGTGAGTGCGAATGGAGATATTGAGGTTAGCCCTATCGTGAATATCTCCTATGATTGAATGCTTATGAACATTATGTCCACCTATTCCAATTTGATCATGGAATGAGGGCCACAGGATTTTTTGCCACTGATAAATGAAGTAATGATACTCAAGGGAATAACAAGAGGTCTGGAATGGAATGGAATGAGGGCCACAGGATTTTTTTGCCGCTGATAAATGAAGCAATGATACTCAAGGAAATAACAAGAGGTCTGGAATGGAATGTAACACACTTTAGTTAATCGTTTGTAGTTTTTCAGTAGACAACACTTGGTAGATACATTAAAAAATTCTAACCTGTAGTTCCACTTGTATAACAAACAACTGCTAGGTCCTTAGCTCCAGGAAGCTAAAAGCATAAATAGAACAGCAAAATTACAAACATTTTCTTGCCTCTTTAAGCATATTTGAAATTCCTCTTTAAATATAACTGTGTAAATAATCCCTTACCTTCTTCTCATGTTTGTTTTCTTTGCCCATTTTCTGCCGAGATTAAAATAAATTAAATAAGTTAACCTTACTTTTGAAAATGTTTTGCTTTAGTCAGGGCTGCCGTATATGAGGATTCAGTTCTTCCCTGGCAGCACCCTTTTTGCAACTTTTTTTCCATTATTATTTGTTTGGAAATAAAGTTATTATAAAACAACTTGTAATAATGATAATTGTCATCACCATCATTAGGGAAGGATACAACAGTATATATACCTGCAGCTAAAGCTCGGCATCACACTACTTTGTTGGTTGTTGGGTTTGATTCCTTGACCTGCCATCAAGCAAGAGAGTTTGTTGGTTCTCTCTTGTGCTTAGAGCAGTTTTCGCATAACTGTGAAAAGCTCTGTGCAATAAGCGTGCATGTAGTGCCGTGACCGTGATGTTTTCTAGAATTTTAATTGGCCAATTCTTTTTCTTTTGAAATTTGATTTGTCTGGCAGTGCTGTGAGCTGGGCGTGATCGCGTCTGCGCCATGTTTATTCTACTTCTTTCAATTCAATTGGGCTACCTTTGGATATTAAAATACAGGGATCCCAGGCATGCAAAAATGAAGGTCTTTCAACAAACCTCTAAATCATCATACTCAATGATCTTGATTCCGCATTTCTCAGCCTTTTCTCTATCCTCATCTTTGATTTCACCCTTTAGTTTAACGATGTTCTTTAGTGTCGGACATTTGTCACATCTTTCAAGTAACAATGGGATTTTTACTGGGTCACAAACCACAGTTGTCATTTTGGCTGAAATATGAAGTGAATTTTCATTGGTTAGTTTGCACTGACTTCACCTATCAATATTAATGTGCCAACCAGACATCTATTGGCTACTGAAACAAGCAGATCTTTTGTTTTAATGTTTGGCAAATTTGAATGAGAAAAGATTCCTGACCTCAATGTTTGTAAACAGTGAATATTGCTATATCTTCATGCACTGTACATGTAGAGGGCACAATAGAGGACACATTGCACACAATTCACTGAATCTCTACAATTACTGTTCTGTGATGTTGAACCTAAGTACCTTGATTGATGATATAAACACAAGAATCAGGGCCCAGTGTATCGTAAAGTGGAATAATAACCATAGAATACATAGCACAGGCTTGCTCAACGAGGACCCATTCTATCTTGTTAGACGCATACACTCCAATGTATGTGATATCGTCCTCCACATTTTTACAACCAAGCTCTAGAAGCCCAGACCCTGTGCATGAAGATCTTTCAAGTACTTCATCATAAGAAAGCCATTCAAATGGGCCATCTGGAGAGGAACGCTGGCCGAGACATGGTTTATCCCCTGTTAAGTGATTAAAAGCATAATTACACTTTTACATTATTTTGTATCTGTTTTCAGGGCCGTAACCAGGGCATGCACCCCTTGGAAACTTTTGAAACTGAGACCCTTGGAAATGCGATTTCAGCATTTTAAGGGGCATTTTTGTGACATTTTACCGAGGCAACTGCCTCGCTAACCTCCCTCGCTCGGTCGAATCAAACACCAAACAATGACCAAATGAAAGAGATGTAAGGAGCATAAGACCACTATGTTCTAGTAAAGATGAATCTGACAGAAACACAAGAAAAATTAATGAAAACTTTGTTTTTATGCAAAAATCTCCAAGTCTAATTGGCTTGCTTGACCTAGCGCTTGTGTGTATGAGTCACAGAAGCATAAGGACCCAAGCATAAGTATCTGGATTTCACTAGCTGCCAAAAGATGGAAGCAGATAAGCATAAGAAAATAAAGGGAAACCTTACATTCTTTTTTTGCTTATGTGCATGCTTTCTGGGATAAAAATAACAGCTGCATGGTCATCAAACAATGTTCAGCCAGAATTGAAACTTGTCTGCTAGGTAAAATCTTTTTCTTGCTGGTCAGTTTGACCAGAAATGTTAGACCAAAGACAGAACTAAAACTAAAACTAAAACTTAAATATAAGTGCTGCCTTTTCATTATTCCCTTTCACAGTTCCCTGCGCATCTCGAAAGGTAATTGTGCTTGTGCATCAAAGCTAGACGAACAGTGAGCTTGCAATAATAGAGACCTTTTTTAACACCTTGGACAATTATTCATATGTTTCTATCATTGCAAGCTCACCGTTCATCTTGCTTCGATGCAAAGGCACGGTTACCTTTCAAGATGGCGCAGGGAACCGTGAAGGGGTCTATTGACATATTTAAAATGGCTAAGCTTTTCATTTTCACTGGAACATTTGATATCTAATGTTTCTGTTTCCATTTATGCTTCCATGCGCAGTGAAAACCAGATTTTGGAGATATAACAATGCCTGACCTGAAATGCTGGCCCCTCTTAGGAATACTTCATGTGTGGTTCTACAGTCTTCAAATAGATACTCCACTAAATCTGCTGTTAAAGCACTTCTGCGGGCAAAGTTATCGTTCTGTAAAAACAACGAAATGTTGCACAAATTTTTATTGTTTTGCCCTACAATGTGTCTGTTGTGGAAGAAGAAGTTGCCTTTCTTTATCAATCATTAAAAGACTACAGTTTAAATGTGTATGACATTTTAGATTATTGCAACAATAATAAATCAATACTGCACAATTTTTTACATAATCATAGTTTTGGTCTCTGCTATAATTTTGCTTGTTATTTTTGGGAACAATATCAAATTTCATTCACTTTTGGTACATAAAACAAAACAATTTTGAATAAATTCATGTTAACACAAATTTTTATTGATTTAAGCTTAGTCCACATGCCACTCGTATCGTAGCAACCATAGAACTGATGTCTAGCCATGCTTTCTCCCTTAACCATATTTATTTTATTTCAAAAGGATAGAGTTCCTAATACACACAGAGAATGACAAAGTTTAGTTGAAATTTCATTTTTACGTCGTCGCTTTGCATGGGTGATCTGTTCAAATTAACTTTTTAGAAATGTCACGCAAGGATCAAAGTCCAACATCGAAGAAAGTTATTTTCCCACCCCCCAAATATTGATAGCAAAATAAATGGAATAAATTGATAAAATATTGATCATTTTATCGGCATTGCATGCTTCATTCTTCTTAGTTTCAGTAGCAGGGTATTTGTTACAGAAATAATACTCACCGATAACTCTATCGATTGTTGTTTAACATTCACAGGACATGGAGTAGGCTCTGGACGCGTAGCCATGTAAGCAAGAGAAACAGCAGCAGCTCCTAAACCAACCACGACTGCAGGATCACGGAGATACTGTAAAGCTTGCTCAGCAGCGTTATCTGACATCACTGGATTCTGGATAAAACTTGGAATAAAAACACACGAAAAAACAATGTTTGTTTAGAGTGGAAATTACAACAGCAAATGGTAGCAAGCAAACGCGTCAAACGTGTTGGCTTTTATCTAAGATTTCAGAAGTGACCTTTGAGCTGAAATTATGAAGTCATCAGTAAATCCTAAGTCACACTTCCTCTCTGACGATTAATCTATCGTCAGCATCATCTTTTGACCGCAAACAATAAGTATTAAGAAACTAGATAACCAACAAAAGATTGATCAATCAAGTGTAGAATCCCTTGATCAAAGATTCCATAAAATTGACCACGAGACTCTGATTTCAGAAATAATCAAAATCACTACGACTGGACACTAATTGCATGCAAAAGTTTCTTATTTTAGTGCCTCTACCTTTCGGTTTTCTTTAGATTGGATTTGTAAAGCTTGGAGTTTTCAACAGTTTGATCCAAGAAAATTTATCTTGTTTATTAGCTTAGTGCTTATTCCCCCACTTGCTCGGTTCATCGAGTAACGCCTGGTTATTTTAGTGTTTTTAGAAAAAGAAACGTCTCCACCATATTTGCCACGTTCTTTGACCCTTTGGACTCAACAGGAATCTATTACCACTATGGCTAGTAGAAGCCTTCAAGTTGCCTTTAGTGCATCTTCAAGACTAGGGCTCAGCCGCTCATTGTTGTACAAGAACTTAGGCGCGACTCAAGTCGGGTTTTCAACCTCGTCTAACAAAGCTGCCATTAATAATGTGACTGTGTTTGGAGGTGGATTAATGGGTGCAGGAATTGCTCAGGTATTGATTTTTACATGAATTAGATATTGATTATTTATTCACAAGTAATTCTATGACTTAGGTTTAGAGAACGTTTGTTTCTTTTTCCTTGGCTGACTTGAACTTTAGTAATCTTATGTGGCGCGTGACGTCTGCACTAGTGTGTACTTTGTACGATCTATTTTAGGTGATGCAAAGTTGAAAATATATTATTCCTATTTATAAAGAAAAATATTTATCCAAACAACATAAAAGGATATCTATTTTAGATATATTTTTAGATGCTCAAACCAGATTCTTGTTTATTATATAATAATGGGGAGGGGGGAGGAAGCTTGTTTATTAGGAATGGGGGGAGGGGAAACAAGGAGGTGAATTCCCACACCCTTCTCTTCCCAAAAATATATTTTTATAATTTTTAATATTATTGAACCCTGGGGCCTGGATGATCTAACAGGTCAGGGTATGCCAAACTCACAGAATGAATACTTCAGCCAATATTATTCCATGGTGGGACAACAGTAGAGCCTTCTAATGCTATTAAATGCTTCTTAAAATTAAATCAGGTTATTAAACCGGCATTAGCGAATTAAGTATACAGGTTTTACGTAAAGCAAAGCCAGAAACACTTTATTGCCCTTTTTCTAAAAGAGTAGAAAAATGAAATAACTGTGTTAACCATCCCCCCTATCCCCCATCACCCCAAGCTTTGCAACCCTTGCTTCACGCTACAGAAAATACTGAATTATGCTGTGGTTATTTTACAGCTAGACGTACAAAATCATTACCAAATTTAATGTTATAATTCTAATTTATACTTCTATGCACAGGCTTTTTAAAGTTTACATCCAAATAAAATAAATTAATAAATAAATATCTTTATCTAAGTGTCTAGTCATACTAGTGCTTTAGCACTAATTGGGGACACTTTTCGCTCACACACACTACCACTACATTCAATATTCTATGCACACAACGCTCAACTCACATTGTTGATTTATATGAAGGGAGGAAACTGGAGAACTCGGAGAGAACCCTTGTGTGACGACCTCAGCGCTCAAACCAGTGACCCAATCCAGTGGACTTAAAGCGGTGAAAGCTGCGTTAGCATCAAATTGTGTCATTTAACATACAAAAGCCAGTGAATAGAAGTAATGCAAATAGATTATTGCCAGTAATGCTTTTGCAGGTCCAAGAGTTCATTGTTCATATACTTTTTTATTCATAGGTCGCTGCTGTGGCAAAATATCAAGTAACGATAGTTGATCAAACAAATGCAATTCTAATCAAAACTTTGCAAAGTATTGAGCGCAGTCTTGGTCGCGTCACCAAGAAACAATACAAAGACAACCCAGAGGTAAATGCTGGTTTTGAAAAACTTTTATCAAGTTAACGGGAGGTTCTTACATAGCACATTATAATGTAGAACTCGATGCATTTTTACAATCTTTATCTCATAAAATTAAAATTATTGTCCAATTGTTATGAGCTGAAATGTTATCTATATATTTATTATTATCGTTATTTATTATTATTATTATTATTTTTATTTTTTATTTTTATTTTTTTTAAGGACAATGAATTCTAGAATGACTTTAATCTTAACGCC